CCGGTCACCTGATGGGCTAATACTCACCTGGGGCCGGGCTTCTCTGAGTCCACCAGGCAGAAAGCTGACCAGCTCGAGTCTGCTGGCCACAGCTGACTCTGCCCAGTGTGTACTTGAACGTTTACACCCACCCTGCATTGTGATCATTCGAGAGGTCAGCTCACAGAGGTCACCAGACCGGCCCGGGGTCCCACAGCAGGGCTGGTGTGCCCCGTTTGTCCACTTGCCTCCACCCCCTCACCTCAGGAGCGGTCTCACCGGTGGGGTCAGCAGATCTGACCTCATGCCCCTTCGAGGGCCCCCCACCAGCCATCTGAGGCACCTGCAGGGACTCCCGGAGCTGAGTGAGGGGGTGGGGAACCCCCGGGAGAGGAAGCTGCTGACACAGAGGATTGAACAGAGCCCCGAACCTTTTTGTAGACTCTGCCTCATCCCAACGACAGGCCACTCTATGCCCGTTTCACAGACAACAGCCACAAGGCTCAGCGACGACCAGCAGCTTCCCCATGGTCACACAGCTCAGAGGGGCCAAACCAGCCCTCCGAGCCCCCAGGTCAGCCAGGACTGGCTCTGTCCACCACAGCCGGTCCTCAGCTCTATGCCTTGATTTCCTCATCTGCAGAATGGGGATTGTAGCAGTGATACCTGCAGGGCCGTGGCTCTGTGTCCTTCTTTTTCAACTTACTTTTTATTTTTTTGAGTCAAGGTCTCACTCTGTCGCCCAAGCTGGAGGGTAAACGGAACAATCACGGCCCCCCGCAGTCCCCACCTGCTGGGCTCAGGCAATCCTTCCTCCTCAACCTTCCCAGTCGCTGGAACAGGCACGCACTGCCACACCCGGCTCATTTTTTGACTTATTGTAGAGGTGAGGTCTCGCCGAGTTGCCCGGACAGGTCTCAAATCCCTGGGTTCAGGCAATCCTCTTGCCTCGGTCTCCCAAAGTGCTGGGATGACAGGCGTGAGCCACCGCGCCCGGCCTGTTTTCTTTCTTCAGCACGTCTTACTAGATGACCCTTCTGTATTTGTCTCCAATCTGTCCCCAACCCCTGCTGGGGCGCAAGTGGTGCCCTCTCCTCCCGGTTCCAGTTCCTGGGTTCCTCACTGTCTCCGTGTGAGTCTCTGTGGAGCCCTCCGAGGAAGTGCTCTGTCTATGCTGTTATTTTACTCTGACTCCTACTCCATGCATCTTCATGTACCTGACCAATCGAAGCGCATCTGGTGTCCTGTGGGTGAAGCCCAGCTCTGATGGACACGCAAGTGCCCTGGGAAGTGGCCAGGCCCGCCACCAAGGCCCCTTGTCGTTCCTGCCAGGTTGAAGTACCAGGGCCTCTGCCCCCCGGTCCCTCGCTCGGAGGAGGACTTCGACCCAGCAGCCAAGTTCCACATGGCTGCCGGCGTGCCCTACATACGGTAAAGGCCTGGGCCCCGTGGGCAGCGCCAGGCCTGAGCTTTGGGACTCGGGGCATGGGGACCGAGCCAAGGATTCTCAGGAAGGCCCCGCGTCCGAGGTGACCCAGCATCCCTGCTGGCCTCCTCCCGGGGGTCACACAGCCTTCTGGGGCTGTGCCCAGGAAAACTCTGAGACTTCACATCAGATCCTGTGCAGAGGGCAGAGCCGGGGGGAGTTTCCTTGCCAGAGGAGGCAGGCAGGAGGGAGGCCAGTGTCGCGCACTGTAGGTTCAGAAGGCTGAGGAAGGGGAGCCCCCACCCGGCCCGGCGGACTGGCCCAGGGAGCTTCTGCCAGCAGGGACGCTGACATGGGCCCTCGTGGCCACCGCACATCAGAGCCGCCTGGGCTCCACGCCTGGCCGCAGCTCCCCAGCCGCCCTTGCCTGTCTCTCCCCAGGTACTTCCTCAGCCTGGTGCTCCAGTTCCAGGTCCACGAGGCACTGTGCAAGGCCTCAGGCCACGGGGGCCCGCTGCACCAGTGCGACATCTACAACTCCAAGGTGGCGGGCAAGCTCCTAGGGTGAGAGTCTCCTCCCTTGCTCGTCCTCCGGGAATCCCTGCTTCAGGCCCCCTCTCCTCAGCCCCGGGCATGCTGGGCAGGGCTTCACTGAGCCTGTGTTCTAGCGGAAGTTCCTCCTCAAGTCAGACTGCTGTCTCTCCTATGTTAATCGAAGCCCATTTCCTCTTGTGTAGCTTCTTGTAGCACCGTTCAGTCCCTCCTGCTGACATACCTGTGTGCACACTCGCACACGCTGTGTGGTGAGTCAGCTGTCCCAGTCTTCTACCTGAACCCCCTTTTTCTTTCCTCAAAAAGCACAGCCCTGGCTGGGCTTGGTGGCTCAGCCTGTAACCCCAGCACGTTGGGAGGCCGAGGTAAGTGGATTGCCTGAGCCTGTGGGTTCATGACCAGCCCGGGCCACTTGGCGAGGTCTCGTCTCTACAATAAATCAAAAATTAGCCGGGCGTGGTAGCGCACGCCTGTAGTTCCAACTATTTGGATGGCTGAGGTGGATGGCCAGAGCCCATTAGGTCGACACTGGGGTGGTCATGGGCATGCCACTGAGCTCCAGCCTGGGTGATGGAATGAGACTCCAACTCAAAAAAAAAAAAAAAAGTGCAGCCCTGTCCCCCCAGCAGTGTGTGACGCACCCTGCTTCTCTCCCTGGAGCAGTCTGCTTCTCTCGCCTCTTCTTGGAGGTACCTGGTTACTTTTGCACCAGCCTCTTGGCATGTCCTGGTCCACTCTGACCCATCAGTCTTTTCCCCTGCAGCTGGTATTTAGCTCATCTCTTCCGTGGTAGGTGAAATAGGGTCCGAGCACTTAATTCACAGACTCCAACACCAGAAGTTCAAGTTATAAAAAGGAGAGGTTTTTATTAGTCAAGAGCCAGGCTGGCGGCCACTTGCCTGCTGGATATGCCAGTCCCACAGAAGAGGCCCTGATGAGCTGTAGGGACTTGCTTAAGAAAGGCTAAACCACACTGAGACGTTTCAAGTGGGCTAAACTGCAACATCCTGGAGGCCTAGGTACCTTTCAAGCAATGCAAGCGTGGCTCACAGAAGTGAAAAAAAAGCTGTTAGACAGTTTAACCTAGCCAGCAAGTGCTGTTGCCAGTTTCCAGGAAGGGAACCTTTTAGCTGTGCAAAGGCTGAGTACATGTTTAGCCTAATTTTTGACATTGTAGATGTCTTTTTAAGCCCCCTTCCACAGTAGGGGACTGAACTGCAGCTGTGACACTCTGCCCGCCAGGGCTAGGCTCTCTGAGGAGCACCTGATGCCGTCACACTAGCAGTTCTGAGCTCTGCAGAGCAGATGTGAGGATCTGCTGTTGACACATGATGAAGCGGAAGGAGAGGGGGCGGCATGGTTGTGTGTCGTCTAGCAAGAAGCACAGCTAGGCTGCAGATCCAGCACCCAGGGCTCTCCCCTGTATGTGCATCAGCCACAGGACATGCCCCGTGAGGACAAAGCCAGGCCCTCAGGCTCCCAGCCGGGCATACCAGCTCTGAGGTGTGGACCCTTTCCCCACTGCATCTCCACTGATTTCAACAGGACTGTTCTCCTCGCTGGTCAAGGTCATCTCAAATTTTATTCCTGGCTAGAATATTCCAGAGGATTAACACTGACACATAATTCAGAATCCTTTGCTGATTTAATGAGCTTATTTGTGACTCCCCCGTGCAGTCTGTCCATGAGCACCGGGCCAGCTGGGCCGGCAGGACTGACCCCTGGGCTTTGCTCCTGGGGAGGGCATCTGGCGGGGCTGGTGTCTCCTGCGTCCACTTGCTGTCCTAACCTGTCACACCACAGGGCTTCATTCCTGTCGACCACCCAGGTCTGGGCCTTTCTGAATGCAAGGCCTTCTCTCAGCTCTCTGCCTCCCAGCCTCTGGCTGTCCATCACTTATTCATCCAGCAAACATTTACTTGAGCCCATGTGCATCTGGCAGGGACATGGGTCACGGAGTAAGTAAATTCCCTCATGCAAGAAAGGGAGCTGGGTGCAGTGGCTCACACCTGTCGTCCCAGCACTTTGGGAGGCTGAGGTGAGAGGATTACCTGAGTCCAGGGGGTCGAGACCAGCCTGGCCAACTTGGCGAGACCTCATCTCTACAATAAATCAAAAAATTAGCCGGGCATGGTGGGGTATGCCTGTGCTTCCAGCTACTTGGAAGGCTGAGGCAGAAAGATTTGCCTTAGCTCAGGAGGTCAAGCTGTGGTGGCTGTGAGCGTGCCACTGCACTCCAGCCTGGGCAGCAGAGTGAGACTCTGACTTAGGAAGGAAGGAAGGAAGGAAGGAAAAGAGAGAGAAAGGGCCATGGTGAACCTGCAGAGAGAGTTGGGGGGTCATGCCAGGGGACTGAGGAGGGACCCAGTCCCCAGATGCCGGCATGCAAGAGACAGACGTCTGCTTTCCTTTCAGCAGCTCGGATTCCCCCGCCCTTCATCCCACCTACTGGGGATCACTTGACCTCAGGCATCTCCCACCTCTTGGCCCACCCCACTCAGGGTACACAAGTTTCCCAGGCCTGATTCGCACCAGAGCACTTGACCCGTTGGGCATGTCTCATCAGCACCACTCGGTTCTCCTACGCCACATCCCTTGGATGACCCTGGGCTCCAGGCTTCGGACCTTGAGCACAGTTTTCTGGGCAGTGGGGAAGAGGACCACGTCTGGAGAGGGAATGTCCCGAGAGCCGCAGGTCCCAGGATGTGGTCTGGGGTGGGGCTGGGGCCGTGCTTGCTGGGAGAGGGGAAGGGGCTTGGCTGTTGTTCTGCCTGCCCCTGTTGTTCTTCGAACTTGACTGGGCCACTTTCGTCTTCCAAGTTGGTTTTTACTTGTAACGGCTAGGGATTCGCGGCCAGGATTGTGACACGGCCATGCGTGTGGTGGGGGAGCGCCCAGCTCCTGGGCGGTGAGTGTGGCTTTCCAGCCCCCGTCCCCTGCCTGCCCTTGGGCCCCCGTGTGTGGGATCTCTGTCTGTCTCCCGCATATGCCAGCATCTGGCTCCCGTTTCTGAGTGAGCACATGCAGCATCTGTCTTGCTGTTGCTGGTACCTCACCGGGACGGTGGTCTCCAGCCATATCCGTGTCGCTGAAAAGGACACGATTTCGCTGACTTTCGAGCCATCCTCCTAAATGTCACGGCCCTGCCAGGCCCCATGCTGGCTCTGCTGGGAACGGAGGGCTGAACTGGACCTGACCTAAGTCCCCAAAGTCCCCGGCCTGGGCTGGCCAGCTGTAGTGGGCCTGGCTTCACCCCCAGGTCTCCAAGGCAGGACCCAGGGACTGCCTCTGCAGCTCTTGGGTCTCATGTGCTGCCCACATGAGCCGTGGGCCAGGCTCTGGTCAAGCACCTGTCCCACCCAGACTGAAGGACGTTTCTAAACAGGTAGAGTCTCAGCAGTCAAAGCTTTTCGCCTAAACGTTCCAGGCCCTTCCTCCTCCCTGGAGCCGGCAGCTGGCACAATCCTCTCACCCGGAGCTAGTCATGACGGTTCTTTTCCGATGGTTTCTGTCCAGGCCCCACTGACCTCAGTCTTCATGCCTGCTTCCTTCTTCGTGATTGTTCAGCCGTGCGTGTGTGCCATGGCAGATGCCGTGTGTGTCTTTGCAAGCCACAGAGCCCCCTTCCTTGAGACGTGACCTAATCCTCATCACCGTGAAGGCCAGGCGTTCATGGCGCCCACTTTCCTGATGAGGAAACGAAGACCAAACTGTCTGCCTGAGGTCCTGTGGACCATAGCAGCACGGCTAGCTTGGTCTTGAACCCGGGTCCTGCTTGTCTAGACCCCAGACGGTGGCTCTCTCCTAGTCAGGGCAGGGAACAACACAGCCCAACTCTGCCTTGTGGGGACCCAGGCTTGGGCACAGCCTGTGCCCCACTAGGAGAGCCAGGCAGGACCCAGCACCTGCCCTAAGCACTGGCTGTGCCTTGACACCACTGACATGTGTTCAACACTGCAGGGGTGTCCAGCACTCTCACACGTTTGATTTCCCAAATCCTCCCAGAACCCCCGTGAGGCCAGAAGGGCTGAAGGGCTGCCACCCGTTACCGATACAGGGCCGCTGCCCGGAAACCGTGTCCCAAGACTCTGTGCCTTTTTGAGCCCAGAAAGATAATAATCACCACAGCAGTACTGGTGGTAATAATCCTCACAGTGGTTCTAGTGCTAGTAATAATATTGCGGTGCTAGGCTAGTAATGATACTCAATGGTAGTAATACTAATAATAAGGATGGACACAGTGGCTCATGCCTATAATCCCAGCACTTTGGGAGGTAGAGGTAAGAGGACTGTCTGAGCCCAGGGGTTCAAGACCAGTCTGAGCAACATGGCGAGACCTTGTCTCTACAGTAAAAAAAATAAAAATAAAAAAAAATTAGCTGGGCATGGTGGCACACACCTGTGGTTCCAGCTACTTGGAAGGCTGAGGGGGAAGGATCTCCTGAGCCCAGGAAGTTGAGGCTGCGATGGCCATGAGCATGCCACTGCACTCTAGCCTGGGTGATAGAGTGAGACTCTGACTCAAAAAATAAATAAGTAGTGCCTGTGTACTGTCCTCCCAGCCCTGTGCCTATGCAACTGTTGCAATGACCCTTAGAGGCAGGAACCGTTGCTATCTCCGTTTCATGGAGATGGTAACTGGTTAAGTTACTGGCCCAAGGTCCCACAGCCGACAAGTGACAGAGCTGAGATTCAAACCCAAGTGAGTCTCATGTCAAAGCGTGTGTCCATCACGCCATGTGCTGTGGGCAGATGCTGGCTAGCCAAGCCTGGGGCTGGAGCGGGACACCTTGAGCGGTCCCGGCAGCACCAGCCGATGCCCCCACACAGCGCCCATTCCCCAGGGATACTCTGAAGTTGGGCTCGAGCAAGCCCTGGCCTGAGGTCCTGGAGAAGCTGACTGGGCAGTCCGAGGTGTCTACAAAGGCCTTCCTGACCTACTTCGAGCCCCTGCTGAACTGGCTGGTGACCGAGAATGTGCAGCACGGGGACATTCTGGGCTGGCCGGACTTCAGCTGTTACTTTGAAGGTTTGTTCCTCTGACCCGGTCCTGGCTCTGGGCCTGCCCCGCCCTGCCTGGACCACCCTGAATCCCCGGCTCACTGAGGACCTGCCTTGGACCAGAGGGCACTGCTGCTGTGACCCTGTCCGTGCCAGGCCTGGGGCAGCTTCAGCTACGGCCACAGCCTGTGCTGCAGGCCCGGTCAGTGGCCTCCATGTGTGCGCCCAGTCAGGCTGCCAGGCTGGTACGGGGCAGAGGGCAACGTTTTGCCCCCTGGCCCTCACATGGACGGGTGAGTGGCCCTACTGTGCCCCTCTCGGCCGCCGCCTCCTCCGCCTCCTCCTCACCCTCCTCCCAGGGCCATGCCCTCCCCTGCGGCTTGGAAGGCCAATGCCTAAGGCTGACTGGGGACCAGTGGCCACCAGGCCCCTAGCAGCCCCGGGAGCCCCAGGGCTCCCACCCCAGTGCCACCTGCTCTACAGGACACCCGTGTCCTCCACAGACACAGGCAGGGCGACGTTCCTGAGTCTGGAGCTGGACCCCGAGCAGGCCAAGCTTGGGCAGTGGCTGCTGCTGGCCCTGGGCTCTGTGCTGTTTCTGGTGGTCCTGGGGCTGGCCTGCAGGCTCTACTTCCTGGAGAGGCAGCCCCTGGCCCCCGACAGCGACACCCTCAGCCCGCAGCCCCGTGCCTACTTCCTGGGCAAGGCCATGGAGCCCCACCAGGCTGCCCACAGGCAGTGGCTGCTGCTGGGTCTGTGCCTGGCGCTGCTGCTCGGCTGTGTCAGCCTGGCCATCTGGGCCTCCAGGCGGCACGGCAGGCGGCCACCGTGGATGGGCGCCGAATGGTGGAGCGGGGACTAGACATCGGCAAGACAGGTGAGGCTGGGAACAACGGGGCTAGAGGGGAGGACAGCCCGTGTGCATGGTGCCCAGCGCAGCTGCAGCAGAGCTGAGTGCGTGTGACGCTGCAATTGTGTGTCTGCAGACTCACACACGTGGGACTGTGTGCACAGGTGATGGCTCCGCGCGATTCCATGCGAGCCTGGGGTTCGTAGCCAGCCTCTCCCCCAGCAGCTCAGGAACCGTGGTTTCAGGGACCCAGGCTGTCCCGCCAAGCAGCCATACCCCACATCATGCCCGGGACTGGCTCTCTACGTGGTCTTGTTCTCTTCAAGGGCCTGGCTGAGGGCCTCGGCGGGGCTTGCTGTGGGAGGAGTCCCCATCCTGGATAGGAAAAACTCCTCTTTCATCCACATGTAAAATGTGCCCAAGAGAGCCCAACATTCCTTTATGAATCACCGGGGCCCAGTTTGTGAGTGCTGTGCTCTGCACACCAGCCAGCGCACCTCTCTGGTCCGCTGGCCTGCCCTGTGTTAGGCCGCCAAGCCCAGCCCCACAGAGCCCTCCGCCGGCCACCAAGAGGCAAAGAGCCTCGCGCACTGCTGGCAGCACACCCTGCCCAACCTGGGCCCTCCCAAATGGAGACAGTGGGCAGCTGGGCATCGAGCCAGGCTTGATTAATGATTGGCTTTTTTAATATTTAAAGAAAGCTCATCTCCAGCCATTCCGCTCCAGAGATGGCCTCGTTCAACACACACACCTGCTGCCTGGCCTGTTGCCTGGGAGCCGGCAGAGGGCAAACGGCACCTTTTCAGGCCCCATGGGGGTGGAGAGGGAAGTCAGGACAGCACTGCGGGAGTGTACTTGGGAAATTCGTACTCTGGGACCGAGGCTGGGGAAAGGGCAGAAAGGCATCTGCTCTGTCCCTCCCGGCTCTTTCTCTCCAGCCGGGCTTGAGCATGCCACTCCTGATCTTTGGGGACTTGCTGAGTCTGAAGTGAGGTCCCAGAGGCTCCCGGGTAGCCTGGGAGTCAGTGCCTGTCAGAGAGTCAGGGAGACGTGGAGGGAAGAGGCTAGCCACAGCACAGAGGCACCAGGACTGCAGGCGAGCCCGGGGAGGAGGACCAGGATAGCACCAGCCCTCTCTGGATTAGGACTCTGAGTCCAAAGGAAGGGACTCGGGGCCAGAAAGGCCAGGCGGGATCTCCACGGGCCCTGCCTCTGCCTGGATTTCGAGAGGTCTTCCCGAGTTCTGGCTGGCCCCAGAGTCCACAGCACTCCCATTTGATGACCCTGTCACTGCTCTTATTCTTCTGTGCCACGATGCCCTTATCTGTCCCCATTCCTAGTCATCAGCTCTGTCAGGAGCGTGCCCCGGTGACACAGCTATAGTCATGGCACACAAAGGGGACTTGGCAGGTGTTGGAGTGGGTCACTGGGTGAATGAGTGTCCCAGGCACTGAGCTCGTGAGAAGCAGCCTCTCACTGTGTCCACAGCCAGCCTGCTCCCTCGACAGGAGCAGTCAGGATACCTCTGCCGCCAGGAGGCCACACTTGCAGCCTGCCCACCCCTCAGCTACAGAGGCCCATGAGGCCCCCACCCAGCCTGGTGTCTGCACGGCAAAGGCACACCCAGCCCCAGCCTCCCAGCCTCTCACCTGGACTCCAGCAAAACCCCACTGAGCCTCCCCGTCCAGCCTCCTTCCCCACCCACCACTGTGAAGTGACTCACCAGAATCTTTCCCTCATGTCTAACTGCTAAGAACATGGCTGTTCGTCCATTAAACCTAGACATTCAAAGTGGCATCTGAGGGTCTTTTCTCCAAACGCACCTCTACCACCCCTGGCCCAGCCCCTCTGAAGGGATGCACCCCCCCCACCTCGGCCTGAGGTGCACCCCCCATTTGAATGCATCCCCTCCGAGGCCTGGCTCAAAACCGGCCACGGAACCCTCTGCAAAACGCCAAGCCCAACGAGAGGCTCAGGGAAGTGCGGCTGCCTTCTGCTCACCCTCTCCAAGAAGCCGCCTCAGCAAGCCTCACCTGCCCCCATCCGCTGCCTCCGGTGTGTTCACTTTCGGTCAGTACACAAACACTTACCAGTGGTCACTTGCCATTAGGTGGTTTTACGTCTGTTCTCCCCTCAAGCCGTGCCTGTGTGCTAAGAGCTCTGGGGCCTCCGAGGACGGCACCTGACTGCATGTTTCTTTGCACTCCCACCCCGTCCTCCCAGGACCAGGCCCTGGCGGGGCTTGCCACCAGGAGCGCTGTGCGGGACCAGGGTCTCTGCGCGAGGGCACATGCTCAGGGCAGCCGAGGGGCCTCACGGCGCCATCGCCTGGGTCAGGCCCAGCTGTTCCACCCGGAGGAGTGCCTCCAGCAAAAGGCCACCCGAGGCCCCTGACGACCGCTTCTGCGGCCCCCTCCCTTGCCTGGGAGCGCTGCACTGCCCTCTCGCCCTGGGAGGGGGTCTGAGAGGTGCTGAGGCCACTGGCCGCCCAGACAAGAGCGGAGGCTCCCTGGGGAAGCTTTGCCCCGGTCCGTCACCCTCGGGATGCAGGGCCCTGCCTCTCGGAACGCGGGGCCCAGAGGCATTGC